TAGCCGTGTGCCCCTCTGACCTCTGTTGCCCTTCCTGATAGTAGAGGGCTTGTCACTCTCATGTCCATCTTTTTCACAGGGTCCTCACAGTCTTCTTACTAGTCCTGTGCATTGAGGACAGGCCACATGCCCTGGTCCCATCTCAGTTGTTGGGAGGCCTGTGGTCAGAGACTTGCCTCTCACTCAAGCCTGGCTCACTTCTCCATACAACCCTTCTCCAACAGTGTGTGACTCTGGGTAAGCTTTGGGTTTCTGCAAGCAAGGTTCATGTCTATTGTGATTGATTTATAGTCGGAGGAGTTGCAGAGGTAAAGACCACAGAGATCCCTTCAGGATCAACCACAGAATCTTCATTTCCTGTCCTGGTAACAGTCAAAAAAACCAGCTAAGCTAATGTGCCCTGATGAATGGATGCCAAGGTTGCCTAAAGCCGTGTTGCTGTCTTCAAAGCATGTGGGGCCCTCTATAGGGGTGAGGACTTCTCGTTTCTTGAATTGGGTGCCCTCCTGGAGGATTAGTCCAGGAAGGAGGGAAGGACACAGTTTTGTCCGTTTGACAAGATCGTATAGCTGTTTCTCTTCTGAGCAACGTCAGTGTGTTGAAGAGAAGCCGAGTGTGTTAGAAGCCACTTTTTCTGTGATAGAGGACTGTCCATCTCTCAGAAGAGGCTGGATACAGGACATGGGTCACACAGGACCCAATAGGCTTTGGCTGGTTGCTCACACCCTGGCTTCATGGTCAGCTTTCAACTGGGTTTGTTATGTGACAGAGACTGGCTGTTTTTCCCTCTGACCAAATAGCTAAAGGACATTTCTCAACCTCTCTTGCAATTAGTTGTGGCCATATGACCAAGTTCTAGTCAATGAATCATGGTCATGGTCAGTACTGGTGTGCCCCCCTTCTAGGCCTGGCCCTTGAAGACCTCCATGTGTTATCCTCCATGGCCTTTTCCCTTCTGCGGTAACCCTGGGAATTGTGCATTGAAGGATGGTAGGGGTCCAGGTCCATGAATCATGTGGAGCAGCACCTGCCAATCATGGAGACCCACTTTGGACTTTCACAAGGGAGAAATAAGCTGTAGGGGCTTCTTTGTTAGAGCAGCTAGTGCTGTCCTTGCCAGTAAAAATAACCAACATCAGTTTTCAAGGAGGCGGCCTCTTTTCAAATTATACACATTGTTGTTATTTTTATTGACTTTCCTGAGCACTCACTGAGTGAATGCTTGTCAGGCCCTATATATGCATGTTTTCATTCAGTTCTTCCACCAACTGTCTGGGGTCCATTCTGTCTTCATCACCACTTGATGATAAAATAAGCTCCGAGGGTAACATTATGTCACATGCCCAAGGACACATAGGCGTAAGTGGCAGAGCCACAACCTCAGTGAGGCCGGGCTGACTTTGGAATTTGAGTCAGCACTCAACAGTCACGTCCACCACAGCCACTCTCCCCCGACGTGGGTGCCTGGGCGTGGCCGCCCTTGTCTCCATAGACCCCTGAAGAGTGGGATTTATCTGGCATATTCAGGGGATTATCTGGAGACTACCCAGCTACAAGGTGATTTTCCTAAAGATATTTTTAAAGTCAGCACACATCACTGGATGTCAGGAGGCTGCATGGCTCCGTCAGAAGTCTTTCCAAGCTGTGACTGCAGCTTGAGGACCTATAGTTAGAAGTGCGGGAAGAACATGGGAGGGGTGAGGAACAGGAGTTGCAGGACCAGCCCTGGGGTGGGGGGGGATATGAAGATGTGGGGCCGTGTTATCAGGAGCCTGACTGAAAATTAGGTGCGAAGATGTTCTCTCAGCAGAATGGCACCTGAGGATCCGTAACACCGAAGGTCCTGCCTGGGACCCAGGGAGTTAGGGATGAGCTGACCACAGCCTGGCCTCAAGTAGCTTGCAGTGCAGTCAGGCTGGGGAGATAGATGCACAGAGACATGCCAGAATGCGGGCTTTGAGAACATGGAGCAGCGAGTGACGCCAGTCTGTGGTTGGGCCCGAGGACAGGGATCGAAAGAGATCAGCTCAGCGGGCTGGCAAGAGGACAAAGGGTGTCAGAGGCAGGAGAGACATTCTGGACCCTGCATCGCAGGGCAGGAAGTCAGGGGCGGCCTGGAGCCTGGGCCCCGGGCAGGGGTGGCAGGAAGCAGTGCTGTGGAAGCAGCTGAAGGATGCTGTTTGTAGCCGGCTCAGGGTGATGGGGAACCTACAAGGGGGCACACATCCTCTGGCCTCAGTGGACCTGAGCACGGTAGGTAAGAAGGAGAGAGAGCTGAACCAAGCCAGGGAGGCCGAAGAGAAGGGAAGAGGCCCGAGAAGGTATGACGTGGGTTCAACAGAGCTTGGCTAATGGCGGGGCACTGTGAAGGGGGGCAGAGAAGTAGGGCCCAGGTTGACTGCTGCTTGGTGGCTTGGCGCATGAGGTTGTCACTGCTGGGGCTGAGAAACCTAGAGGAGGGAGTTCCAGGTGCCCATGGGACTTTCAAGTTCCTTGCCACAGGCAGCCAGATCAGATCTCTGGGGCTGCACAGCCAGGTGTGCACCTGGGAGTCCGCGGCCTGTCCACGTAACAGCTGGAGTGGAAGGGAAGCACCAGGAGCATCACTTTTAAGGAATGAGCATTTCTAGGGCCCATCAGGTCCATGCATGCTGATGGCTTGTCTCTGGGGCAGGACATTGCCCGAATCCCACAGAGGCAGCCCCAGACATACCCAGACAGCTCTGCCTGGGGATGGGAGCTGACGCCTGCACTCCGGTAAGAATGGGGCTGAGCTGACTAATCATCACTGACCATAGGCCTCTCCTGCTAAAGGAGGGGAAATGTTCAGATCTGCAAACTCCTAGTCCAGAGGCGTGGGGTTGGTCTGTGAAACATATTTGTAGCCAAGCAAAAGACTGCTGGGAAGCCCACTGACCGCTTTCCCTGCAGACACACACATGCACACATGTGTGCAGGTACCATTTCCTGCTCAGAGTCAGCATGGACACCTGTTTGTAGGGAACCTTTCAAAGTGGAGCTCATCACAGCAAGAAATGGGGCCATTTAATTGTTCCAGAGAAACTCAGGCCCTTCTGGGACTCTCTTTAGCACTCAGTGATCAATTAAGACTTGGTGCCCCTTGATGAGAAATAGAACGTTCTCATCATAATTGTCTGTAGCTACCCCACCCCCACTCCCCAGCATCTATCCAGGGCCACCTTAATTCTGCTAGAGTGCCCAAGAGTTCTGCTGTCTGCTGTTTTGGCCATCTGTGTCAGGCAGACAACTGAGATGATCTTAGGGGTTGCACTCATGTTAGGTACGGACCACGGTGTATTCCAAATATAGGGTTGGGTGTGAGAGTAACAAGGACTCCTAACTCTGTGGCCCCTGCTGGCATAGAGGCATGGCCTGTTGGAGCTGGAGTGGCCCACACACCACACAGCCTGACCTCAGTTTGCCAGTAAATGGGAGTCTTGCCCATTTGGTTCAGTGGTTGAGCATAGATGTCCGCCAGGAAATGCTTGCATGGTGCCCAAGGATAGGCCTCAGCTTCTTCACAACCCGTCTCCTAGCACCCTCACTGCTTTTCATGATGATCATTTAAATGACCGTAGGGTTATTTCTTCTCTCTCTTCCCCACCAGCTCTGGGAGAACAGGGATCCCATTTGCCTTGTGTCCTGCTGTCCCTGTTCCCCAGCCTATCTCCTGAAGTGAATGATGAATGACTTGAATGTTCTCAGCAAACGTTTGAGAACTTGAATGCTCTTAGCACACATGTAGACCTTAGTGGTGCTCTGCCAGGAGTACAGCCAGGGGCAGCCCTCTGAGAGCCTGCACTCTGACGGGAGAGACGGGGGCATGTACACATCATTGTGGCATGAAGTGCAAAGGGGCCCAGAGGATGGAGTGGCTGTATCTGAGCACTCAGGGAAGGGTTGGCAGAGGGCAGAACGCACGTGTGAGGGATCGTGGTGGTCCTGGCGGAAGGGCCCAGCCCCTGCAGGGGAGGCCATTTGCAGGAGCTGTGTGTGACTCCCGCTGTGTCCAAGTTTGGACCACCGGAGGTATGGGGTGAAGCTGGAAGGATGTGCCAAGCCTAGATTTCTGAGGCATTGCATGACAGGCCATGGGTGTTGATTTTTCTTGGGAACTGTGGCAGCCAGGGAAAGCTTTCAGACCAGGGCCATTGAGTATTCAGACTTGTATGTACCACCCTCGGAGGCCAGGTGGATTGGAGAGTAGGGCCCACGGTGGGGAGACCTCTTCAGAAGATGTTTGTGATCATTTGGTTAATGATGACCTGGATTCAGTCACAATCGGGGTGGACAGGAGAGGCCTTCCAAGAGTTGATGGAGACGGAGCATCCTCTGGACTTGAGTGGCGTTTTGGATGGGGATGGGGAGGAAGAGCAGGGAAAGACAAGCACTTCTCCGTCTTCTCTAAGGACAGGCCTAGCTAGTGGACTGGAAGTGTCCTGAGGGCCTGTGGTTGCAGCCCAGCTATCTGCTGAACTCCTGTGAGCTGTTCTTGCCCCCCCAACAGAGAAAGGATCGTGAGGTAGAGATGCTGCTTTCATCAGAGGGCCTAGGCATCAGGCTTTACGTCATTCTGGGGGCAGGGTACATCGTTTTCTTTCATGAAGGCTTCAGCACATTTATCCACCCTGGTCTCAAGGGAATGAAAATGCAACTGTTAAACAAGTGTATAGGATGTAGTCAAGAAATCCCATTTTTTTTTTACATCATGTGCCATAAAGGCAAGGCACTTAAGAGCACTCATTGTCAGAGTAACGTTTAAATGCAGGTGGCCACTAAAATTGATGTTATGGTATAAAATGTGAAGAGCATCGCCGTTCTCTTTTGAGGGGCCGAAGTGCTCCAGCGGAGTGCATCAGCTGGGCTGGGAGGACTCAGTGGCTGCAGGCGGTGGCACTTCTTCTAGGGGCCAGAGAGTGCGGGGAAGGGGGGGGACCCCGTCCCCAGGATCCTGACCTCTGTGCCCCTTGCCTCCACAGTGTGCTTACTGATTCACCTCCAGGGCCAGCGCCATGTCAAGCCGGGGTGGGAAGAAGAAGTCCACCAAAACCTCCCGGTCTGCCAAGGCGGGAGTCATCTTCCCCGTGGGGCGGATGCTGCGCTACATCAAGAAAGGCCACCCCAAGTACAGGATTGGAGTGGGGGCGCCCGTGTACATGGCCGCCGTCCTGGAGTACCTGACAGGTGAGTAGGTCCACGTCCCCCGAGGACACCACTGGACTCACATCGTGGTGGTTCGGACACTTTCCAGGCACTGATCCGATCTGTGTGGTTTCTTTTATTTTGAAACTTTTCAAAACCTGCAGAGAAGTGACAGGAGTAGTACGATGAACATTTTCACCCAGGTGCCCCGGTTGTTGACATTCTGCCCCATTGGCTTTTTTTCCCCCAACCTGGGTGTGTATGTGCATATGCATAGGTGTGCGCGTTTATACATTTATTTTTGGCTGTTATATAGTCCATTTAGAAATTTCTTTAATCTCCCAATATTGGCATTTATAGTTTTTTTAGTTTTCTTTTCTGATCCAGGATCCATTTCAGGATCCTGCATTTCCTTTAGTTGTCAGGTTTCTTTAGTCTTATTTAAGTTGAAACAATTCCTCTGGTTGGTTTTTGTTTTTTGTTTTGTTTTGTTTTGTTTTTTTAATTTTTTAAAACTTTTCCATGACGTGGACATTTTTGAAGAGTGCATCCAGTTGTGTTGTGGAATGTCCTGCAGTCTGGGTTGGTCCTATGCTTGGATTTGGGTTAAACGTTTTGGCAGGGGGATTGCCTAAGTGCCGTTGCGTCCTTGTCTAGTATCATGCCAGGAGGCATGTGATGTGGGTTTGTCCTGCCATTGGTGATTCACTCGGGTCATATGGTTGAGGTGGTATCTGCTGGATTTCTGCACAGCCTTCACCCAGTGGCTTTGGCATTCCTGGATGATCCTACCCGAATCTGTTACTACTATAGTGGTTACAAAAGAGTGATTTTTCTACTTCTGTCATCTCTTCTGCGTGTATTAGTTGGCACTCTTCTGTAAAGAACTTACTTTTCATCTGCCCTGTTCCTCTTTCTGTTTTTTGTATTCGAAATGTTACTTCATGGGCTTAATTTAATGAGTTATACACTATGACATCATTACTCAGTACGCTGCTCACATTATCTCATGTTTGACATTCAAGCCGGTTCTGCTGTCCTTTGCGATGGCCTCTTCCATTCTTACACATTTTCTTGCTTTCCCCCACATTTCCCTAGCCCCAATCTCGAAATCAGCTCTCTCTCTCGGGAAGGGGGTGGTGGTCCTTTTCCCAAAAATAACCTTAATGGTCTCACTGGTGGCTCCATGGCCACTGTGGCAACCCACGTGGGCAGGGATGTCACCCCCATTTGTAGTGATGAGAAAACCAGCCTAAAAGCGTAGGAGAACTTGCCTGGGGTGGCATATGGCCAGGAGGGAGTAGAGAAGGGACCCAGATCCTGCTGGGCCGTTGTAATGCTTTTACATCTTAGTGCTCTGTGCACCTCAGGGTATGTGGCAGGAAGGGCCCCCTCCATTCTTGCAGCCAGACAGGGAGACTCAGCAAGATAAGGTGCCTCTTCCGAAGTGGTAATAGGTAGCAGGAGAGCTGGATCACTTCTTGCTCTCCTGTCTCTCAGTGAGGCAAGATCAAGGGTTCCTCCATAAAGAACACCATCATGAGGAACATGAAGTTGCTGTATTCTTTTGAAAGCACCTAGGCATGAGAAGTCATTGGTGGCTTATAGTTGGGAGGCATTTGCACTTCTGGGACATTTAACCCCCTGCTTCTCAGAGACTATTAGAGGTGTAGCATGAGCGAGGCATGATTCTTCTCCTTCTACAGATGAGGAACCAGAGGCCCAGAGCTTATGACACACCCAGGAAAGCCCTGTAGGACATTGGCAGTCAGGGGAGAAGTTACTAGATAGGAAGCGGAGGACATTGCTTCGTTCTGGCTTGCCAGTTTACATGCTGTGTGACCTAGAGTGATTCACTTAACCTCTCTGGGCCCCAATTTCCTTACAACTCAAATGTTGACAATAGCCCATGCTCCACCAACTCCAGGCTGCTGTGACACCCAAAGGGCTTTGTTTGAGCATGATGGGGAAGCTGATGTGCTGGGCATACCCAGTCAGGCCGTGATTCCTGGTTCCCAAATGCCGTGATGTCCTTGTCACTGGGATGTCCACTACCATTAGGTCAAGTACCACATCAGTTTCATTTCTTCCATCAAGTTTCTGTTTTTTAGTTTGCAGGGTGTGGGGTGGGGGTGAGGGGATACCGTCGCTCCAACATATCTGAGGCAGTTACTGTGTGTGCCACACAGAAAATCTGGACGTTTTCCTCGTCTGTGCCTGGCTGGCTCTGGAACTGAGCACAGTGCTCATGAGTTTGAGGTCAGCGGGCCCATTCTCATGGACTTTGATTCTATTTGCACCCGCACCCATCATGCCTCTCCCCAGCTCTCATGGGTGTACGGTAATGGTCACGGAGGGTTGTGGGAATGGTCAGGGCAGCCCATCACTAGTGCTGGGCTCAAGGCAAAGTTTTGCTCAGCTGTCAGCCATGTTAACTCCTGTATGTTAAGAATAATATATATTTTTACGTTTTACCAAGTTCTTCCAGTAGAGCTGGAGTCCGAGCCATTTTGTCTGCGTGCATGCAGTGCTGTCATTGGCTTGACCATTGCCCTATGCCTGCCCCCACCGTGGTGCCCGGCCCACATGACGGACGCTTCAGGAGACATCCTGAGACATGCGTGCTGTGCTCAGTCACTGCTGTGGTCACTTGTGCTCTGTTGCCAGATCGGGTAGTAGCTGGGCTCGGGGGCCATGTCCGTTGAAAACACTGCTCTGTTCCACCCCTCAGAACAGCGCTGTGAGCCCACACTGACTGACCAGCCCTAAGCACCTTGGGCTGGGATGTGACAGCATGTGACTATTTGGAAGTTCTGAGTGTTTGCCCACTCAGAACTTTGGTTTTGTTCCACGAGTGAGAAGGAAAGGTGGACAGTCCCTCTTTCTGCTCTGCTCTTTGATTTTGCTTCCCTGAAGACACTTGCTCATTTGTTCCACAAACTGTTGAGCACCTGCTGTGTACCAGGCACCATGCTAGGCTCTGTACGAGAACATAGGCGTGATCGCAGCAGAAATGGTCTCTGTTCTGTGCCACTCACGGTCTAGGCTGGGAGAAAGAGCCAACCAACCCAGGTGCTTACTGCCCGTGACAGATGCCACGGAGAGCATGAGCTGGCCAAAGCAGCGGCCCGGACGCCGGGGCTCCTGGAGAGGAACTGCCTCAGGAAGGCTTCTGTGAGGAGGAGCTCTCGGCCGTGACCTGGCGAAGGAGTTGGGGCCCGTCAGCCCCGTGAGAGCTGTCAGTGGGGCTGTGCCAGGCACGCACCTGTGCTCCAGGAGCCGGCTAGGTGCCAGCCTTACCCCAGAGCTCGGGGAAGATGGGCAACGAGGGAGAAGCCCAGGCGCCAGCCCTCGAGCAGCTCAGGGCCTCGACAAGGATGTGGCGCAGACGTGGTGCTGTCACGTGAGGCGTGTGAGCCAAGTCCCAGCCATTCAGCAGGTCCTCACTGAACATGTATCTGGTCCTGGGATAGAAGCCCAAGCAAGACCTTTCCTCTCCCCAGGGAGCTTTCTGTCCAGGGACAGGTACAGGCAGGAAGCAGGCGGTGCTGTAGCTTTGTGTTAGGTGGAGGAGGCTTGTTAACCAAAGCCCCCCTGCTTGTCTTGCTGTCACCCGAAGGGCCCCGTAGAGGGATTGTGTTCAGACTCTCACAGGTGGTGCACAGAGTTGCGGGCCCGGTGATGGAGGTGTGCCGCCTGATGCCCTTCGACGTGGCTGGGCCAGGCCTCCGCCTTCAGCAGGGCCCAGCGGAGAGATGAGGTGTCTGGATGAGGTTGCTAACGGGACAGCTGAGCTACCAGGGTCCTTCTGGGACTAGGTGGCTGTGGAGCAGGGAGCTGACATTTCTTCGGTGGCCAGCCCTAGGGACCAGGTGGGATGCCACAATATTCAGTGGCTGTCAGGTAGAGGCAGTAGAGCTGGATGGTGAAGATGTGGACCTGGGTGTCCACAGTTCCATAATTGTGGCCTCGGGCCAGTCGCTCACATTTCTGGGCTGCGGTTTGATTACCTGTACAATGGGGCTAGTAGTGACCGTCCCGTAGGGTTATAGACGCTGCAGTGAGGGGATGCAGGGGAAGCGCTCATCCCACACGCACACAGCGTAAGGGCCCAAATCTGACCCTTAGCAGTGGGGTTGAGGCACAGAGAGGAGGAAGGCCCTAGTACCCCTCTTCTGGCGGCTGAGGTTACTTTCCTTGGGGGTGGTGACGGGGGCGGTCACTGCCCACTCGTGCATGTCGTCCTTCAGCGGCCCACAGCCCGCCGAGCCTCGCTGGCACCTGCAGAATGCCTCGGCAGCTTCAGCTCCTCCTCTCCCTGGTTTGTTTCAAGCGGCACTTAACTCCTCCTCCTAAAGCCTGTACCAGCCTCAGCACCAAGATGTCCTGTTACCAAACTCTTCTGTCTGACGTTGGCAGCCCCTTCTATCCTGACACCTGGCACATGCATGGACAGCTTCTTGAAGGATGTTTCAGTTAGCCAGGAGCTGAGCATGCCAGAGCTGAGGCCGCACCAGCACTAAGAATGAGCCAACAGGGGCCCTTCAGGCCACCGGCCATCGGAGCCCAGTGACACCCCCCCCGACCCCCGCCGTGCAGAGCATGTTTTCAGGGGTGAGGGACCACAGAGGTTCTCCTTACGGCCTGCTGCAGGCTAGAGCAGATGTGGGGAGGAGGTTGTAGCCTTGCATCTTGCTCTGAAATGTGAATTTGGCCTCTGTTTCTCCTCTTGGGTCCAGAGCCCAATCACCTGCCGTACTTAAGACGAAAAGACAACATCTGGAACAAGCTTGGGCCTGGCCACCAGACAGCTCCTTCCCCAAATCTGCCTGTGCCTGGCTCTGCCTCCCAGCTGGCCTCTCTCTGGAGCTCTTCCTAGGGAATGTGACGCTGTCCACGCGTCCTCTCAGTGGCCAGGACCAGCTGGGCCTTGCTCCATTCTACACCAGGAAGACTGACTGCACCTAAAGCACTTAACCAGCATTCATACCAACCCCGCAACACATGGTAGGTGGAAGTGTTACCGCATGGAAACTGAGGCA